TATATATATATATACGGTATTATGTATAAGGTGTTGAACTTAATTCCTGTCGTTTTTTCGTCTCCAAAATTGATTTGTTTTGAAGAGAGATGAACGAATACTTTAATCAAAGTAATTTCCTTCATTTTCTATTACTTTTTCCCACCTCTCCGGCGACAGGACAATCCCACAATGGTAGAACGCGGTGTCTTTCGAGGCAATCCATTCATCCACCCATTTTTGGACTTCTTCGTAACTGGAAAGTTCTCCATATACATAGTTATGTGTCCGTAAGTGCGTGTTGCATCGATTGGAAGAGATGGTAATCCGATGGTGCCAAGTCTGGAGAGTACGCTGGATGCGGGAGGATTTCTCATTCAAGTTGTAAAAATGCTTGCGTCAATTGTTAACTACGGATGATGTTTTTTGCAATTCGTCACTCAATCGGCATAATTGCTATTGGTAGCGATCAGCTGTAACGGTTTCATTTGAATGCAAGAGTTCATAATACAGTACACCCTCCTGAACCCACCAAATGCAGAGCAAGGTCTTGTACCTGTGAATATTCCTCTTTGGCGTTGAAGCGGATGGTTGGCCGGGTTGACCCATGATTTTTTCCGCTTGAGATTATCAAAATGAATCCATTTTTCATCGCCAGTTACGATGCGACAAAAAACTCTTTTCTTTGCCTGGCAAGCAAAGAAGTCGCAATAGACAAATGATTCAAAATGGCATTTTCTGACAACTCATGTAGTAGACTATATCCCTTTCTTATGAATCTTTCCCATGACATGCAACTGTTTTGAGACGGCCTTTAGAGTAACATTTAACGCTTTCGACAACTCTAAAAGCGTTTGAGCTGGATTCTCATCAAGCAATTCTTGCAGCTCGACATCTTCAAATTTTTTCGACTGTCCTAGACCGTCTCTCACATCAAAATCACCATTTCGGAAGCATTCAAACCAAACTCTACATGTTTTTTTCCGATGGAGTTTCATCACCATACACTTCGGATAATAAGCGATGCGCTTCAGCTGCGGTTTTCTTGAAGTCGAAGTAGTGAAGAAGCACATGTCGGAAAAACATCTTATTGCGATTCATTTTCAATCGATTGGAAAATCTTTTTGGCGTCAAGAAATCTAACCTGTGAGGATTGAGTTACTTTCAGCAATGTCTAAACTACAAAAGACATACGACTTAATCGTCGAAACTCGCCAGCGTTGGAGCCAGCACTTTCTAGCAGCGAGCGGCAGGAATTAAGTTCAACACTTAATATATATAATATATATCTAAATATATGTGTATATATATATATATATACATATATATGTACTAAATATTTGAGAACAAATAGCGCCACCATTATGTAGTATAAAGTTTTAATAAAAACAATAAATAAATTAAATAAACTATGAAGATGTAGTAATGTTAATTATTTATAGTAAATGATTAATATTGCTATATATTTTTATTTTATTTAACTTAGTGTTTTTATTGATATGTAATTGAGGCGTTATTTGTTCTCAAATTTTTAATTACTGATATGGCTTATTTCTTTGAATGTAAATATGAGGTTCCAAAAGTATCCGACCTCTACGTATATCTTTGTCTTTGAGGATTCTATTAGATCTCTATTGTGAAAAACAGGCTTCAGTATTTAGGGGGGATCTTGAAAAATATCCCTATTTTCAGCGGCTCGGCATTTATTAGTTTTCTTCAACATCATCGAATCTTTTGCTTTTTAACATATTTTTCAACTTAGGAAATAGTCAGAAGCACATGGCTATATGAGACATTGACGAAGTTGAGCAATACCATGTTTAATAAAAAAAAATTCTGAACGAACTGAGATAGATGAATGTCATTGTGAAATGCGATGCTTAAAGTTTTTCAACACTCACACAACTGCGTATCAATGCCGACTAAACAACTGTTGGGGTCGTATTATTTGGTGATGCTACTTCTTAAAATCTCTTCTAAATACTTAATGCCTGTTTTTTTATAATAGAGGGAGAATTTCCAAGAATAAAGATATACGCAGAGATCGGAGACTTTTAGGACAGACTTCATAAATATTGAAGAAAAGTTACGAAACATTTATATATTCCTTTCTTATTCATGTTTTTCGAATCTGATATAAATATCGAATAGTAAATGCGAATTGAAAATGTTACATCTACGAGTCAATATTGTGACGACACATCAAATGTACATAAAGAATCCTTGATGTTACAGACGAACACGAAATTGAAACTGTTAGTCAGAAGCCATGCCATGAGAGAGTCGACATCCCCACCGCGGGAACCGCACGGCAACGGTCCAACGTCGCCGCACAGTCCGCAATCGGACGGCGAGAAAAAGATCATATGCAACCTCTCGCCCAATTCCGGCGCCAAGCTCAACAACAACGAATCCATATTCAATAGCAATCTTTGTTCCGCTCAATCTCCCAAACAGATGCGCAACACGGCGACGTCGCCGACTTGTCGGACACCGTCGCGAAATGGTAAGGCGATTCCTTTTCTTTTTTGCTGCGCTTTAACTTTAAAGGTAAAAAATTTAATCTCGTAACTTTTGTCGCGCAGGTCAATCTAGTCCTTCTCAGGTACATTCACCAAAGAGCATCACATCTCCAACTAATGGCAATAAATTGGAAAATCACCGCTCCAAATTCGCTAACGCGAATATCACTCAAAAATGCAATAACTGTGTGAAAAACAATCAGAATGAACGACCAGGTTTATTGCAGACTCCGATATCACCCATCAGATACGGTCAAACATTACAGCATTCGCCGAAGAGCACCAATCTTGCTCCGTGCGGCCAGAATAATCAGCACAAATCCGAGCAACGAAGGCCGAACACATTGAACATTTGTAGTAATCAATGTTCGGCGCAATGCGGCAACACACTCTCAGTGACCAGGCCTGGATCTAGGCACAAACTGAGACACCAGAATTCGTCTCAGGGTAGTTATGATAGCGCATCGCCATGCCTTTCGCGCGGTATGTTGTTTGAATAATACGCTTTTCATTCTTTTCCTTTTTTATCCATTTTTAACTAACAATCTTATAGTACTATGATTTGATTGAAAAGAGTTATTAAAAAATGTCATTTTTGTGTTATATTTTGTATTTATTTACAGACAGTAGTACAGAGCTATATACGGACAGCACCGGGATAGATCTCGAACAATTCATTGCAGAGACTATAAATCGCAATCAGAAAGATCGCACAGTATTGTTAAAGATTGAGAAAGATTTAATTGAGTTCGCGAAGGATCGACAGAAACCCTCTCACAGATTTCCGAACATGTCATCGTATAACAGGATGCTGGTGCATCGAGTGGCAGCTTATTTCGGAATGGAACACAACGTGGATCAATCGGGTTTGAGCGTCATCGTCACGCGGACGAAAAACATGCGAATACCAGATACTCGCTTCAAGGAACACATCAGAGACGATCTGATCCTATCGGAAGAACCGCGAAGAAGTATTCTGAAACGAGATTCGAGCTCGTTCGAGGATAGCTTCAACTTTAAGTCGCCTGACAGAATGTCGGGCGATTGTTGTCGGCGTAGTAAGAGCTTTGAGGAGCGAGAAGAGGAATACGAGCGCGCCAGACGAAGGATATTTAAAGACAGTAGTGGTGAAAGCAGCGAAGTTTCCTGGCCATGGTCCTCGACGGAGAGTTCGGATGCTTCTGCGAAATTTCGCTTGCTACACCCGGATCATCTAGTCAGGTAAATCGCACCTAAATTTTTATCAATTACTGCATCTGATAATAGTCATAAAATATTCGTCAAATATATCTTTTGATCAAATTGTCTTATACTGTTCATATATTTATTTTTAGGCAAAATCGATTTCTGAAGGGCGAATCTTTTGATGGAAGAGATTCATTCCACGGCCCAGGATTGCGTCCATCAGTTTCTAAGTCATACAGTTTCGGTGGATATACCAAATGCATGTTGACGAGAGGGGATAGTGTTACATCTACACACAGCGCGGGAGCTCGTCTTATGAAGCAAGGTATTATTTATGCACAAAAATGATGACAAAGATTTTTTAATGCTATATAGTCGTATTCTGTTGTCGCATTACTGTCGCTCTTTTCTCGTCTATTATCGTATATGGTAAATTTGTCGTAGATTCTGGGGCGAGCATGTGTTCACGTTTAAGTCCGAGCCGCTCGAGTAGCGGCTATAAATCGCAAAGTCAGCGCAGTGATGCGACGCTATCGCCATCTCTGTCACCTTCTCCCGTGCCGGCTACTATGACGTGTAGCCACACTCAAGTGTCCAGTCAGGACTTAGTCTCACCGGAGTTAAATGGTAGCCAAACGGTTATGTGGGCAGTCACCAGTTTATCCAGTGTACCACCTGGCAGCATAATAATAAACCCGCAAACTAATCAGCCATATACAAATACGGACGGCTCGATTTATCGCTACGATCCAGACAATCCGCCAAAGTTCTTTACTATGGAAAATGAGAACGACACGCCATTATCTACTAATAAGCAGCAGCAACACACGGAATTGTCCTCTGAGCCGTCCAGAACGAATAACAACCTTAAGAATGACAATAGGAAACAGAAATCGCCGCAATCGAAGATCAATGTTACGGGGGTGACTACCGGAGCCCAAGTAACAAATACAGCGACATCGCCAAGTCTGCCATTCACTCCGCCGACGCCACCACCGCCACCACCTCCTCTTCCTCCTACTTCAGCTCCGCAGAATCCACCCATTCTGCAACAACAAGCGCAGCAACAACAGCCCCAATCTCAGCCGCAGCCGCAGCAACAAAGTCTAGTCAAATCGTCAACGACATTACCTATATTTAATCATACTAACCAAACAGCTCAACAACCCTACGCGACCTATGTACCTACCTCAGAACCGTATAATCAAGGCGTTTATCCACCCCCTATGGGACAACCGACTGTGATGATGACATCTCATCCTACTCAGAGTCAAGCAAGTGTGCAAAATGGCGGTCAGGGCGATATCTTCAATCAGAATCAGGTCTACACCAATTATGCAGTACCTGTGCATCAAGGACCAATATCACAGTCAGGGGTAAGTAATAGTAAATTTTTACAGTAAACATTTTTTTGCAATAGTGTTAAATTGATCGAGAATGATAACATAAGCAACATTTAAATAAATTAGATTCCTCATAGCTAAAAGTAATAAATGCTTATTGTGTATTTTTGAAATGCACTGTATATTTTATCTAATCTAACCTAATTTCACTTTATTTTGTCTAATTTTTTTTTTAAAGGAAAGAGGAAACCTACATAGGTACCTTCAGTCCGTGGAGACGGTTTGAAGACTATGTATTCCTACTATTCCTATGTATTAAATCCTTTCCCTTGTGTGTTCGATTTATGGTCCAGGTTAGAGATGATCAGAGAACAGCCAACAGTATATTATCTGGCTGTCTCTGAATTAACATTGTGATAGAGCTATTCTGAGACAGGTCATTCTGCCAACCTATGACGAGGACAGCTCCACTTCGTGACTTTTAAAGTTTCATTCATGAACAGCTATTATCTTTGTCAGACGGTAGGATAGCTCACCGTTGGAGCCTACCTACCCATATTTAGACGGGCAGGTCCAAAAGTCTTGATGGTCTCACGGCCTGTCATCGCCAGGTTGAATAATTCATCTCTTGCTAACATTGCAACATCCAGCTCCTTTTTGATTTATTTCTATGTCTCTAATTATGACATATTCTTTTCTATTTCCTTGATTCACGGATATTATCGATGAATTGAACTAGGATCTCTAGGTTTCAAAGGAAAATGTCACTATGTACCGTGGCCGCCATGTTGGTAGGTACGAACAACTCGGATGGCCAGCCTACATTACTGCGCATGACGCATCTATGTTTCGATGACTAGCTAGTCTCCATACATTCGACTCATATTAACCTCATATAGGGTCACCAATTGAAAGGTATTCACAAGTATCTTACTTTAACATCTGGATTGTCAAAGCAAGAGGTGACCCAGTGAGGTCACCATACTATCCACTATGGGGGTTATGGTTTCAAAATATTCGAACTTCCAAAGTTCATCCAAGGGATGAGGCCCAAGTACTTAATCTTGAATCTCATCGTTATATGTAAAGAGGTGCTCTTCTACAAGAAGTACCAAAGGTGGTCCCACAATTTAATACTTCTTGTAGAAGAGCATCTCTTTAGTGGAGCCATCTCCAACACTATGGTGCCACACGGCGATGTTGGTTGCCGCCATGATCTCATTCCATGGTATTCTCCCAACATAGCAGACGAAGGGGAGAGTTATTATATTCCACAGAAATCCCTCCTGTGGATTTTAGACTCTTTATTCGCGATCATGATCGGTACGCGATCAAGATTCCTGGAATCTGATTCACCTGTTTTGGAAATAGTCCTGCCACAGAATTGATTTCAATCATATCATCTAACTTATTGTAACTTAATCAAATCTAATCTAATTAACCAATGGTTCCTTAGGTTATATTAGTCATCTAATTCTGACTAGGTTTTTGTTAGATTAGATTAAATCATTATTTAAAGAATTATTTACCTTTGATTAACAAGTTTAACAAGTCTGTGCAAGTAATATGTTATGATATGAACTTTTAAAACACTTATCGAAAAATTCAATTATAATACTGTAACTGATGTGCAGGACGTGGCCGAGTTATCCGGATATTTCTTAGGTATGAACATTTACGATCAGCGTAGCAATGGAGACAGCCACTCCACGCCTCCGCATTCTACGTATCCACCACCCTCTACAAATCAGACCATGCAGAATATGCAGTCAATACAACCAAATTATTGGCAACCATCGCCAAATCAAATACCGGTAAAATAAAATAGAAGTGTATGTGCAATGCATCTTGTGATTATCTCTTTTGCTTGATGAAAGAAAAATCTTTTTAGTCTCAACAAACCATGTATTTTGTGCCTCCACCTGGAGCGACAATTTCTGTCGGTCAGAATCCGGGGGATAGGCAACAGCTGCATCAGCAGCAGAGGTTCCCAACGAATTATTCTTTCAACGCGCAAGCAATGACGTCTCCGAGCCAAGCAAATTGTACGTTACATTGCAATTGTTATATTTCTATCCCTTTGTTTCTTTCTGCAAATTTATTTAAAATAATTGACGTTGTGTACTTCAGCTAATTTCGTCGGCAGTTATCCGGTACCTTACAATTCATTACCAGCAGTAACTCCGACTCCTAGCGACTACACGTATCAACCACCAGTTCAAATGATTCCTACGTATTATCCGCCAGGGCAGCCGGCGATGCAACCACCGCCTGTGATGTACAGAGTACCTACGCCACCGAACACACCAACATCTAGTCAAGTAATTTACTAATCTGTTCGTACTGGTAATTGATTGTCAATATTAGTTTTGCAGGAGATAAGATTGGTTAAGATAATAAAAAGATCATACGCGTCAATGCATAATACATTATACAGAGTGTCCAGAAAGTTCCAAAAGTCCTTATATAATATTTAGAATCTATACACTTTCAAAGAAATATTCCAGTAAAAGTTGTAGGATTTTAAGTGGCGCATTAGATCAGTGTGACTTTGGTTAGCACTATTAAGGTCATATAAAAATTATTCTGAAATTTCCAAATGAAAATTTCTCCAAGTCGCCTCTGACACTATTTCCTTAGAAGGACCATAGGAGCCATTTTCACTCCAAGCACTTTTTTTTCTTAAATAACAAACTAAAAATAAATGAAATTTATAGATAATTGTATTTAACGTTTTAACGATATCACTAATTTATTGAACATTTAAAGTCATAATCTTCAATCAGTTGTATGATTTTTTTTGGTGTCGTTTAGTAGTATTCAGTAATGGTCATGGAGATTTCAATACTAACTAATATTAACACTGCCAATGCACTTTTGCGAAAGAAGCAGTGTTTACTGCGAGAATATATGACGTCAAACGTTGTCTTTAGTGACGTTATAGCATTATTTATAGCACTACCTCTTACATGGCTCTCAAACAATTATTACGCTGAATAGCGCTCTAATAGTGAAAGGACATCAGCTACAAGAATATATAAAAAGTGTAGAAGTTATGACTTTTACGTTATTTTTAATAATACTAACTAAGATTACATTAATATTAAATGACCGCTGGACTATAATAAGCATCTTATGTAAATCAACATAGCATCTTTTATCCTCCGTCTAGAAGCCTTATGCTATGTTTATGTAGTTTTATGTCATTTTGTATACTTGGTGACTCTAAAATTCGACAATTTTCGTTGGAATATTTCTTTTGAGAATGTTTATTTTCTGAATTATTAAAGCATTCCAATACTTTACGAAAATTCAGTATATTAATACAAAATATTAATATATTTCATTTGATATAATTGACAGATACCTGGTATGCCGTTGATGTACGTTAACTCGAGTAGCTACGCAGCCCCAACAATGATGACCAGTGGAACATTCGGACATCAGGTCACCCATAATGGTACGTCCCCGGCGCCGCCTGGCGCATATATGGCACCCACGCTGGTTCCCAATTTCGTCTTCAGGCAAAACGTTCCGGTAAAAATGCAACAATAACATTTATATACTATCGATGAGTTATCATGCAACTGTCAACGGCCAAAGATTTTTTTTTATATAGATCGTTCCCAGCGTGCGGGCGACAACGCCAGGTAACTCCCAAAGAGCCAGTCGGTCTCCAACTCCGGCGCACGAGCTCTTCGGAGGTGGGGGCGGGGACCGAAACGCACAACCTCAACCACGTTACCCACTGCCAATATATCAGGGTGTCCATATCGTGCAAGGTATAATCCTTTTAAATTTTAAATGCAGCATACATTCATTATATATACCTATATACATATAAATCATTCTTTAACTATTTAAAATATTCGTAAATGCAGGAGACATGAGATTGATGCATTCAGGCGTACCATCCAATTCCCGGTTGCAGTATGCACCAGTATCATCACCGCCTGTTGTTCAAGGCTGCCCGCGGCCTTACAGGCCACCTTCGTCTAACACCTCGGGTGCTGGCACGCCGACTTCCTTTGACGGCAGAAATCAGAAAATTCGCAAACATAGGTAGCCTTGAAACTCGTTACTTCTGTTTTTATTAAATATTATTTTTTGTTTTTCGCGGTAAATTTATAAATTTTTTTATCTCATGCAATTCAGGTCCAAAGTAACATCTTTGCCACCAAGCGGCGCACGACCCAATTTTTATCAGACATCTTCCATGTCATCGCTCCCATCAAACATACCCAAAGACATCAGAGAAGGTATGAAAAATTAGCAAAAAGCATAAAGAGAAAGAGAGAGAGAAAAGATTTCGATGTTTGCGCTCAGTACGTCGCTTAAGATTTAGTTATTTTTGCTTTCATTTTGCTTATGAAGAATAAAGTGTAACACAATTTTTGACACATTCTTGTCTCCTCTTAAAAGCGAAACCTGTGGAAGACAGTATAATATAAGGTACAGAACTTAAGTATAAAATATTACACAGAACACAGTGTCTTCTTTGTACGATAGGGGCTTCTTCACGTGCGTTAATTTATCTTTATTAATATTTATTGTCTTTTTTTTATTTTGTGTACATTAACGTGCTGGAAAGTTATTCCTACTTCCACAAATTTATTAAGTAATTTAAATGACTATATATATTATTATACATCTCGAGATGATCACGGTCTGTTTGAGCCTATAATATAACGATTAGCGTCAGGAAAAAATACAAATTTATTTATATATAGAGAGATACTGTGGAAAAGGCTAACAGTTTTCTTACAGAAAAAAAAAGTAGGAAAGATATCTTTTCATTGCACATATATTTTGTTGTTGCACCGTGCTTAAATAGTAACGCGCACGGGATATTGTTCTGAATTAATAGGCCTGTTCTTTTTACCGAACTGGTACACAGAGTGCAATAAGTTGAAGTGAAACAGATATACGTTTGTTTCATTTCAACTTATTGCACTGTATGTACCAGTTCAGACAGTGCAGGCAAAAAGAATAGGCCTAATAAGAAAACGTTCAGAAATGTTTCTGTCCAATTTTCATATAGTCTGATCTTCAATTGCGTAAATGTAGTTATAAGTGGTCGTATATAGTTGTAAGAATTCTCTAATCACAGTTAAATATTTTTCTCGTATTCAATTATAATTAATCAATTCTTACTTTAACTATAATTCTAATTGTAACTACATTTACGCAATTGTAGATCGAACCTATTTAATGTTACAATGAAAAAGAAACTTTTTTTCTTTATAAAAAGTGCATATTTCTTAACATTATCTAATTGGAAAGAAAGAGCAGTTCTGGAATATTTTCTTGTAGATATTTTGTTAAAACGACATTGAATGTGTTTTTTGCACTTTTTTCAAACTTTTTTTTACATGACACCTACCGTATGTACATTTTTCATGCTTATTATGCACTAGGATTGGCAAGATAATATTAATTTAACTTGTCAGGTTGACGTTAGAGAACATTCTCACGTCAACTATGACTATGTCTGATTACAATTTGTTGTATAAGTTATTTTTTCTTAGAAAACATATTTTGCTTTTTACGTACAAGGTTTCTTTTATCAGTTATAATTGATGTATCTATATATTCTTTGCTAAAAGACATTCATTTATATTTGCATCAGAATAACTCACTCGTACTATACATGTTAAGAAGAGAGCAACAAATTCTAATCCGTCCTCAGAAATAATGTTTCTTTCCAGGAACGGTGAAAGTGACCATCACCCGGCGGAATCAGGTACAATTTTAAGCAAATGGATCGGCCAGATAACATCACTGATAATGCGAGTCACACAATTTTGATTATGAACAATAATCAAGATTGACTTACTGTTCAGCTTTACTGTTTAGAGACACGATATATTCCTACGAGTTTGCCATATTAATTATTATTTATATACGTATAATTGATATGTAAATAATTCTATATATATATACACATACACACATATATATATATATATATCTTGAATTATTTAAAGAGAAGCAACAGAGATGTTGTTAGAAGAGTATAAGCGTGCACGTATGTACATCTCGAATGAAAACAAAAATAGTTTACTATTTCGCGAATTGTTTTTTTTTTAAGGATATACGAAAGATAGAAAAACTTAACTCTTATTCTTAAAACTTTCAATCGTACCGAATTCATAGTAAAATTGGATTATACCAGACAAACATGCATGTCCATAAAGAGAACATAAGACGTTCTATGGATGTTTTGAGAACATCTCTATGACATAATGTTTGAATGATGACAGTTTGATGACGTTTTCAGGACGTCTTATGTTCGTATTTTGGACATATTGTTTTCTAATCTTATGACAATGCACCAGCATCCTAGATAATGCGTATGTCAAAGAACGAGAAATGCGACATCTGAAAGATGTTTTATGTTTCGATTTTAGACTTTTTGTTGTCTGGGATGAGACACAAGGGGAAGATGGATAAAACATGATCACACATGTGTCCAAATATAAGACGAGAGAATCAGTGATGTACCGAATAGAGTTTTACTGAACAAAATTTTAATTACCATTAAAATATTATTGTACACACACAAGCAGGCATACACAAACACACACATCGTATGCACATAAAATACTTGAATATATTAACTGCGATTTTATTGCGGTTTTACAGATACTATATGAATGTGAGATTTACCTTTAAGGAGCATTACCGTTAAGATTACAAATAAGAACGAATTTGTCAAGGTGATGCCGCCGTCACGAGAATATATTAATGACGATTAAATTAATGTATGAAAAAAATGAAAACAAAGACTATACCTTACTGAGTACGTTTACAAGGTACATGAGTCTTTCGGCTTAGTATTAATGGCGATCCAAGATATATTCTACTATCTATCCGCTAATTTTGATACACTCGCTGCCATCACATTGGTCAACAAATGTACTTCCATGATGTTGGCATTTAACTGTTACTAGATTTAAAGAGTATTTTTTGTAGGATTTTGCCTATAAATAATTGTAGTAATCATTATTTCGTTTACAGTTGGGAAATAAGAATGCTATCGATTTTTAAAAGACAGGAATTTTTTAAACTATAATTAAAATGGTACCAGATTTATACATAAAATTGTTTATAGTTGTTTGTGTGTGTAGTTCCAACATTTTTGTTTGTAGTTAAAAAATGAATTTATAATTAATTTAAAAAAAAATAGCTAGAAATTAATTTAAAATAAAAAAGCAAATAATAAATTCTCATTAAAAATTATTTGTTTGTAGTTGAAAAATAAATAAATTATAAACTTTTAATTGAATATTGAAAATTTAATTTACTTTTTTTTTCATTTTAAATTAATTCCTAGCTGTTTTTTTTAAATTATAAGCTTATTTTTTAACTACAAATAAAAATACTACAAACAGTTATAAACAATTTCATATATATTAATCTGGTGCCATTTGAGCTGTAGTTGAAAGAAATTCCTATTGTCGTTTAAAAATCGATAGCATTTTTGTTTTTTTAACTGCAAACATATATATCGCTAGATTTATTCCTCAAACTAGGGGTTGGACATTAGGTTAACAATCTAATTCCAGAAAAAGAACCCTCTGTTTAAAAACTTTAATTTATGATCGGAAGATGTAAGAATATTATAAGCCGAATTGTAAATAAAAACTATAAACGAAATAATGATTATTATAATCATCATCTACAGGCAAAATTCTTCGAAAAAGCCCCTTTGAAATCTTATTTGACAAAAGTGCCAACTTAACGGAAGTAACAAATGTTGGGGACGTCGCTGCCCATTCCGAGTCCATTTTTTAAACGAGTTCTGTGCTACCTCAGTGTATAATATGTATCTATAAAAATTCTAAAAGTTGGCCGCACGTTAACAATGCTAACCCTTACTTTTCCTCTGATACATTATTGTACGTGAATAAAAAGAATTTACATTCTTTATAAAACGTTTAAATATAATTTCTACAAGTGTATTTTCTTTTTGTCTTTCTTTCTTTCTTTCTTTTTCTTGTATTTTGGAAATTTCTATTATGTTTTATAAAATGCTGCAAGGGAAAACAAAATGATAATCGTTCGAAGAAATATGAAATATAATATTTTACACATTCACGACATTCTGTAATGTTCAACTAGATATGTCTTTGATCAATCATAATTCATGATTATACTCGTGAATATCATTAACTATAAGTAAATACGTAAACGTATTCAGTACATAATCTTTATGTCTACTTTCGAGCAGTAGTTAAGTAGCGTGAAGCCATCACAGTCTCAGAATTTACTGCTTTTGCTTTATTGCAGAAAAAGAAAAATCAAAACTAATCTATTCTTATTTCTGATAACAGATAATTTTTCGGGTTTAATATGGATCGTTAGTTATTTTGTCTGTCTAAATATTTTTCAGTCTCAAAAGTTTGGTTTTTTTAAATACTATTTGTCTTTCACTATGCAAACATAGTTCATGAATTTCGCAAAATTATGTGTGTACACACACATTTATACATACACACGCACACACATTTACACACGTACACACATTCTTTGTCATGAAAACCATCTTCTCTGTCAAAAATTCAGTTTAACCGAAAAATTTCTCTCTGGATACAAATTGCAAATACAAAAGGTCCATACTTTCTTTAGCACTCTGGCTTTTTTGGAAATTCAATATGGTAGACTCAACATAATGATTATATAGATTCAGCGTGAATACTCAATTATAAAGATTAACATTGATGTGACTTTTATACTCAATTTTGAAAGTGACACTCGAAGGTTTAAGGTTTACTTATTAAGGTTACTTGTATATGACACTCTATTGAGTGTCATATACAAGTGTTGAGAGTAAATTTTTAAACGAGATGTTTATAGAGCGTGTACACTCAAACTTATGTGTGAATACTCAGTTATTGAGTATACGCTTTCAATTTTTTAATATATACACTCAATTTGTAATATAAACACTGATCCTTGGGTATACACACTCAATATTTAAGTGTAAATACTTAATTTATGACGTAAACACTCACAATTTAAGTGTACATCCAAATTTGAGAGTAAACTCTCCAAATTGGGTATTAACACTCAAATTTTAAAAGTTCTTTCCAAAAGAGTTCACAATTGATTGAGAACGCTTGAATCATCACTCAGATGGGTCAAAATTCACTTGATTTTTATGATTATCAGTATTCAATTGTTGTTCGGGTCTCGGATGAAAAATTTGCAGTCGGATTTTTGAAGTTAAAAATGATAGATTTAATACGGTAAAAAATTAAAAAAATATTCCGTTTTAAAAAATTAAAAAATTTTTCGCTGAATTTGATGGCTTTTTTGATACAGAATGCTCCATATATAACGTACACGACTTCTTTCTTTCCTCCCTCGTTGCCTCTCTCTCTTCCCCTCTATATTTTTTTAGCCTGAGAGAATTCTTTCCTAAATACTTAACTTAATGAATAGCGATATGTATCTCGGCTACATTCCGTTATTCACTACAAATACTGAAAATCTATAGTATACGTAACGTAACTTATAAATTTCCGTATTTGAAGCAAATAAAGGAACGTAGCTTTAGATAAATACTCTATTTTATTCTCCCTCTTTCTTCTCGCCTTTCTTCACATTCTGCCTCCCTTTATTTCTCCTATCTATTTTCCTCTCTGTATTATTTTCGTGCGTGTCGTATGTGTGCTAATATGTATGTTGCATGTACATAAAGTCTATCTGTCGCGTAAAATGTGATATTATATACATACTGTATATACGGGGTGTATCAGATCATCCGTATTATCCTTTTTTCTAGGAAATGGATAGTGATCAGAAGTATCGGGGAAAAAATTTTCATTTCCAAAGCCTGTATGTTAATGTCAAGATCATTTCCTTTTTCTTAATATTTACCAAATTCTCAATTTTTGATTAAAAATTGGTAAATATTAAGAAAAGGGAAATGATCTTGACATTAACATATGTTATCAAGGTCATCATTGTGAATGATCGAGAATTAAAATGCTAAAAAATTAAATTGTTCATGAAGACTCTGGTAATGAAAAATTCTTTTCCAACTTCCGATTACTATCCATTTACAAGAAAAAAGTATCATACCACAGATGTATTCTTTTCGCATACTTATTCTAACGAAATAGGGACACATGCGGTATATATGTATGTATATGATATATGGCGATATATATATGTGTGACACGCAGTCGTGGCAATTAACAGGTTTGTTTTATATTCCTGCATTTTCTGAACTGGTACACACGGTGCAATAAGTTGAAGTGAAAATATACGTTCGTTTTACTTCAATTTATTACGCCGTGTGCATCAGTTCAGAATGTGCAGAAATAAAAAAAAAACAGATTAAAAAACGTTTCCGTCTGTGAAAATTAGATGGATCAGCGCGGGCAGACTCGCGCGGCTACACTATTACATATGATACATCATTTTATTTTAAGAAAACATGAATTAAACTCACACCCTCGCAAAGCAAACAGAATAATTTCGTTAAAAAAAATTGCAATTAACTGTTAAGGGGATCCTAAAGTTGTCTATTTTACCAATTGAACGTAATAATTTTTGTATAAAAATTACTTCTTTTCTCTTTTACCGATTCAAAAATCCTTTTCCAGAATCAGGAGACACGTCAGTATTTCGGCGCCAAGATTAAAGTATCCGCACACGAAAAAAACGGCTACGGTTGCCACGATCAAGAGTCGCCTATCAATATGTTTTTTAGTTATAAAAACTATAGTACGATTGTGATAATCGTAAGATGCTATATCTTATGACTGTTACAACCATGTAATACATTCAATGTACACACTCAAATGTATTGATGGGCGAAAATTATCATTATTTCCGGTTGTGGTAACATTTTTTCTGTGCATTAATACGTGTCTATCAGAGTTTATATTGAAAACGAAAAAAATTTTTTTAATTAACATTCTGATTCAATAGGCGTCAGAGTTATCAATATCAACATTTCCTTGATATAAAATTACGAAATTGTAGTTTACAAAGTAGTTGTTTATACGAACAAACAACGTAAAGTTCGTAGAATTAGACGTCTAATTAAAACGCTGTTCTATGAAAAATGTATATATGCGCGTGCAATATTGATGTAGTTGTATATAAAGTTATGTCGATGTGTCGCATTTTATCAGTAAAACAGCTGTCTCTTCAGAGTTCGGGCTTCACTTTAGGATCTCTTTAATGGTTATCTTCCAACCATAGATTGTGATCGTGATCGCGAAAAGTGCTCGCGTTGCTCCGTGAAAACAAGTGGAATCCATCCAAAAGCTTCGCTTACGGTGATTGTACTTCAGAAACATAGGTGAAGGTGTGCCTATCTTTTTATGATAGTCCAAATAAGCGAGAATGTGCATGCGATGTACACGGAAATTTATTTATTTAGCCATTAACGCGAAGATGACACTACTTTTTCTTCGTGACAAGGTGTGGCACACGTCCCGTTATAGGCTAATAAGAGAAAGAAAGACAAGAAACTCGAATGAATATAAAAAGCGAAGATGTAGGTATTACAAAACACTTTGAGTAAAGAGATGTGTCTGTTTTATGCATGCGCGTGAGTATGTATATGTGCGTGCGTGCGTGTGTACACACACGTGTGTGTGTGTGTGTGTATGTGTATGAGTGTATGAGCGCACAAGTATAGTATTTAACTGTACCTAATGTCATTGTAGTGAGTTAAAGAAAAAGAAGAATAATTGTACCTATTAAGCAAAAAAGCAATTCACGCATCTCTTTAAGATAATAATGATGGTAAGGGTGAAGGGATACAAAGGAACTCATCGGCCCTTGCAGGATCGCCGTCACGTATCATTCACACCTTGCGGCACCAATTATTTCGTACATTCAATTCATATGATCTACTAACAGTATCTCTATGAAACCAGGAGAGCGTGAAGGAGAGAGGAGAACGAGGGAGAAACCGTATCAGGGTATGACACGCGAGCATATAATAGTTGCTTTCCATTTTCACGCAAATGATATACTAAGTTTAAAATTATGTATTTAAAAAAAAATCTCCTTTTTAATGAAGAATTTTATATATATATTTTTTTTATCATCAAAACAAAGAAATTATATTACAATCTACAAGCAGTCGGTCAAGGACACAAAATACAGGAAATTTTCGAATACACTAATGATTATTTTATATTTATATGTATCTCATAATCGATATTTTTTACAATTTAAATTTTAAACATTGATAATGACCCAATCGGAGTTGAAAAAGTTTGTTTTGTATTTATTTCTGTCAAATTAAATGAATTTATTAGGTTCGTAGCCCTTCTTTTGTATTTGTTATTTATGTATTTTACATTTAGTGTTAGATAATAGCGTGACTACTTATTTACTTTGACGACAAAGTAAATAAGTTATTGCGTAACAACATAAGTTTATAATCTTATTTTTAACGTTAACATGATTTAGTAAAGTATATCTGGAGCAAATTGTAGGTAAAAACTCAGTTTAATGTTACTTATCAGAATGAATAGGAATTCAGTTAAGTTATGACAGTGCAAATGAGAATTATCTGAATTTTGATAATTGCAGTTTTGATAAATGGAAAGCAACTATTGCATATAACGTTGTTTAAGCGTTGCATTTGTTAGGATTGCCGCTTCTCTTTTTTCTAACAAATTTCGGCGGAAGCCACGTAAAAATCGTGCAAACAACCTCGTATTTACTCTCTTTGTTTTGTTTACTTAGTGAGTATATTCAATACATTGACATCGTTCCATCGTACGACTGTCTAGTCAAAATTCTTTTAATTCTTATGGGATTTATTATGTCCATTTCTATGAATGTATACTAACTTTAATTTTGGTTAACTTATTCTTTATGTTTTCCTAATTCTTAGAATGAGAAAAAGCAAAAAGGAACTTAAGGATGCATGAAGTTTCTGCAGAAAATGATAATTTATACTTTCCGTATTTTTATCCTGATTTTAAATCGTTGCTAAATTTTGGGTATTACTTTTAAATACAATATAAAAAAATCTGTTATTTTTTAATAATTTTTTTCATTTTGTCAAAAGTGAAATGTATTATATCTTTATAAATCAAGAGTGAAAGTTAATTTACACATTAGTAGAAATGTACATTACAAAATATTTTTATATTGTTTTCGTTATATTTATATTGGAATTTATTTTTATAATAATTCATGTTATAGTTGTGTGAAAGATTTTTGTAACTACGTTACACTTTGTTTATATCGATTCAACCATACTAGCGACGTGCGTTATTCTCATTGTCGTCTACCTCGGATTTTTATCCATTGAAAACAAGAATTGGGTTACTGCGGATATAGTAGATGCGACGAATTTTTTGTTACCATTTTGCTTTCGAGTAACTGTAATTTCATCAAGGTTTATTTTAGAAATCCAACGAAGAGACGAAAAGAAAGCAAACACTCAACACAATTATCTCAACCGAACATGAGCAATTCTTAAAGAGAACGGATTAATATAAGTTTGCGAGACCTCACACATTCGTACTCTACTATTTTTGTAATGCGATGTAAGATGATGGACAACAGCGAGCAATAAATCGGTGGAAGACAGGACAGAAAGAGAGTATAGGGAACATCGCGATATCTAAAATAAGAAAAAGTTTATAAGCGAGTTGTAATATCGACTTCCGCACAAAAGAATACCATCTATGTCACTCTCTCTCTTTCTCTCCCCTGACTATTTAGTGAAGTCCTTCCGTTGATTTGTCCTTTTAATGATAATCGAAACGTTGTTCTGCATAACAAGTCGCAGCAGAAAATTGTTTGTTTCCTTATTTGTTGTGTAATATAGTAGAGATGCGACAGAGTAGGTGACTTGCGAGAAATAGCGAGAACATCGCAATCTGTGTTTTCGCTAATTCCCGATAAGAACACAAGATACGTGTGTCAGAACGATGTGAAAATGAAGTTACTTTAGCGATATAGAAAGCAACGTATCTTACCATTAAGCGTATCTTTTACCACTGTTGCTTGTGTTTAGACAATTAGACCGCAGAGCGAACGAGAGCTACGGTGACACCTAACACTTGACAAGAGACCGGTCGCGTCGATTAGCGTCCTGTACTAAGACACTGTAACTCTTTAACTGTTAATTACAGTGTCGATATCAATATATTGTTGTTGCGTAGATATACATAGAAAAAAATCTACTCAACGATAATATAACGATACTGAATTGTTAAGAATTACAGAATCGGAGTGCTGGTGAAAGGATCAACGAATAAGTTTTTTCTGTTCTGCAATTAAACAGAAAATCGTGATACAGAGATAAGCCAATAGTGAACTTATATTCTAAATTTCAAATCTGAAATATTTCTTTATTATTATATCATTCAAAATTTGATCGTTCACATTGGCACAGGACGATAAAATAAACTTTTGCAAAAAATTGCAAGTATTGATGTAACTCTACATTATTTGCGTGAACTTTTTTTTAATGTAGTTACTCGCATGGAGTGTACACCTCGGCATTAAATCTCAATTTTTATTGTACCCTTTGATGATTTACGATTAAAAAAAGTTGATAGTATTTCATACATCATTTACATAAAAATAAGTGCAAAACAATATTAAGTGAAATAAACCGAGAAATGTTTAAATATAAATAAGAAAGAGGAATGCCATTTTTTCGGTCAAAGCAAGTGCTTTTTAGTGCTTACTAATATTCATGTGTAAATATATATATACAATTATCAAGTTTATTTAATATTTAATAATGCTGACTAGCATCTTGAAAACTTATCATCTCAACCGGAATATTTTTTGTAATAAATTATTTATAAGTTTTTAGAATGCTATTCAACGTTATTATTAAGGGAAGGGCTTGATTTAGAGCGTTAGAAAAATAGGACAAACTTAGAATTTTTTAAAAACAATAACTGATAAATTTTAGGAGCGCACATACACATTTTAACATATTTAATAGTTAAGTACAAATTTTTTAAAAGATTTTGTTAACATTGCTTGAGGCCTTTCATATGTGGTGACCATGGTTTGCCGTTGACATTGTAGAGACCATCGAAACGATCGAAAAGAAAAGGTAAAGTATATATATTATCACATGTTTAGTGCTTCTTCTATATGGGTCTCGTTTCGGATAAAAAAATTACAAATTTTTTTAAGACTAGGATATATTTTACACGCGAGTAATGTAAGGTTGACATTGATTTAATTGGCTCTCTATTCATATTGCATATATCAACTTCAGCTGCAGTGCAAATAAGAAGCTGAAAGATTTAATCGATCTCATTCCTAAACTACATCGATGAGACCGGTTTTAAAAATTATTTATATAACGCGGACAAATTGCGAATGTGTACCGATATATATATACACACACACACACACACACACACACACACACACATGTATATACTTTTTGCGCATCACGGCATGGCGCATCGGTACTTTAAAGATAAATCAGTGGCTGTGCTTCCGCGCTTAGACAACGTACCTCACCGTGATCGCGTTCTCTCTCTCGTTTTGCTAATTTTACGGCGACAAAGAGCGATGACTTGCGTCACTCGCCACTTCTCCAGATGTCGGTCATCGGGCAAGCATAATGCATTCGTACAAGTATTTAGGAAAAGATATATAATATATATTTATATTTATATTATATTAAGTAGGGTCTCCTGTGAAGACGTACGGACATGTCCATCGATTTTTTTCGGCTACATGGGGAGAGTTGCAACGCGCTGAGCTACGTGTAATCTTAGTTAAGAGGAAGGATAAAGAGAAGTTGAGCAAGTGTAGTTGATGAAAAAAAAATTGACCTGAATTATCTATGTATAAATATAATCTACAGTAACGAGAGGACAACGAGAGAAGGGAAAGGCTGAGTAATCGACAATTCTGTGGGGTTAATAAAAAAAAGTTATTACTCATCCAAAATGCACATCATAGAGAGCCGAAAAGAAATTTGATATAGAAGTCATATGAGTCTAATTATATTTCTTGTTATACTATATACATATATATATTATATATATATATTATATCATATTTTCAAAAAACGAATTATATATATATATAAATCAATAAAGAAAGAAGACACTCGCGTTTGATAATTTGCGTTTGATTATTTGTTTATGACGTTCGAAACACTTCCTTGTTTTATCGTGGCGAAAATAATGGAGCATATATTGAATATAAGGCGAAAATGACAGGCATGAATGAACTTTAAAAATGTAAATTGGAATAACGAAATGTAGAGAGAGAGAGAGAGAAAAGAGAAGTTTACTACAATACTTTTACGTCCCAATTTACATAAAAGTTTCATTTATGTTTTCGTTATTCTCTTCTTACACTTAACTTATATGCTTTAATTTCTATTTTTGCCAGGGTAATCATTGTGACGAGAAAAATTCCTACATCTCAATATTTTGGTGGACATATGCAATGTCCAGAAAAGTTATAATTACGAAATCTAAAAACCGAGACAATGTCACAAATATATTTTAATATACATATATATATGTGTATATTTTTAAAATTCTGTTTTTAAAGTTAAGATAAGTATTCTGGAATTTATTTCTATGTACACTTTAAGCATATAAATGGATTGGTAAACATTCGGATGGAGGGAGCTAGCGCCGATGACCTCGACCTTAATGTACTATATGTTGTCAAGGTCATGATCCTGAGTAATCTCCAACAGAGAGAGAGCAAGTAGAATAGACCTGGTTTTGCATGGAAAGTGCGCCCCTAGGCGCAAGTGGGGAGGTAGGGCGAATCTTGCTTTGCGTGAAGAGTGGAACGATTCTAAACGGGATGAAAAGTGTAGGATAGTGTTAAACTTAATATTGTATATGTATAGTAGAAACGTGATGTTATTTCTTAAACTTTTTTGTTAATAATTTTTTAACGAATAATGAGCGACGGCTAGAATCTTTTAAAGGTCACTTAGGGTCATGACCTTGACAACATATGTCAAGGTCATTGAAGTCGGTGAGGTTGCCCATTTTCTAAAGTTTTACTTAAAATTCAACCTGTGATATCGAGAATTTCACGTCAGCATCTTCTTAAAAGTAATTTTAAAAAAGCACCGGTTTACCATCTGGATCAAAAGTTATTTCAATAAGAATTAATATATTTTTATTTGTGCTCCAATGAAAATGTTTGGAAATGTTTAATAAAATAATGACAAAATTATAATTTTCAATTTTTTAATACAAGTACTTTTAGTATTTAAGATGATTTTAGTATTTAAGATGATTATTGTACAAAGTTATATTGCGATGCAAAAATTAGTAGTTTTGTAAATAAACTAAATATTTATTTGATCTAAATCTTTGTAACTAATCGGTGAATTGCGTTAATCCTTAAACAATTCTAATCACAGTTGAATATTATTATAAGAGAATTCTGTTGAACGCAGCCATTATAAATTCGGATGCTATTTTTTTAAGTACCCAACGCGTGTGCTAAAAAACATAGCAACACATTATATATGTATCTGTAAGATTGTTATCTGTACAGGTTTTTTTTAATTTGTATTGAGTATGTATGTGTGTTTTTATATTTTCTGTTTATAATTTGATATTCCTCCCAGAGAACAAATATAAAAAAAATTTATGTTGATCTTATGATTGTATATTTCTCCGGGATATTGTTTCTTCTTTTGAATTTTGATTTTAGTTTGTTGTTAGAGATATAATTTTATTAGAATAATAACTTTTCGGAACAATGTTGCACGTTTCAAATTTTGGTAATATATCAATTCAAGACATCTTAACTTTGTAGATTTCGATACATTTTTCTTGAGACATTACATATACAAATTTTTAAGAATTTATCATACTTTAAATTTATGAAAATCGCTAGAAAATATTTTGAATTTTTCAGATTTTATTAATTTTCTACAAAAATTATAGTAATAATAAGTAGAATTATTAAGAGTATATGAGAGTGCCGAAATTAATGCGTAAATAAAATGTTTAATGCATGAAATTTAATTACCTACGTGAACTTTGAAACTTGCCATTTATACATAAATTAGTACTTCTAAATATGTTTTCAAATGAATTTGATTATATATTTTGAACCATCTCAATATCTCCACGTCAAATAATAAAATAAAAGTATATGACCTTCATCGAATGTAGTGCCCACAATCAGATCTTCTCAGCACAATACCAGCTGCTCCCAAACGGTATAATCGTACAAAGAAAGTCTTTGGATATACAAGAACAAAATGTATAATTAAATATAAGAAAAATCTATGGACTCTATGAAGTCGTCACATTTTTCGTAGTATTAAAAAAATTAATGTTTCATTAATAAAAAGAGACAAATGTGAGTTAGAAAATAAAAATAATTCGAATAAACGATAATTGTTTACAATAAGGCTTTTTTCGAATTTTAATGTGATAACATATGTCAAGGTCAAGGTCATTGGGGGAGGTTTCCCTATATTCATTTTTATCATAAGTAGTAAAAAAAAAATAGATATTAATTATTATATTCAGTATATATCTTATGTTAAAGCTGTGTAAAGTTCATTAAAACCTTCCCTTTCAACATTTTTATCATTGTTATCTCTTGAATGTATTTGCCTTTTTCGCGCATGTGTGATTCATTGTTCTTCGGATATCGGGTACCTTAGGTCATTTTTGAAAATATTTTTTTATTTTTTTCTAAAAAACCAATCAATATGTATACTTTATGCATTTTTTAAATATACATAATTTTTTTATCATATAAAAAGGATGAAATCTTATATTTAAAAGTAAATAGAATGTAGTACTTTTGAAAGTTTAATTTTTATGGCTTCTCTAATGTGTCCCGGTCACCTTCCATATATGAAGAATTCTAAAAAGAAAATTTTACCAAGAACTAAACTATGAGAGTCGCTTAGAAGAATTGCATGGATCGAAGGATTATTGAGAGAGAACATCTTACAATTATTAGTTTTATTAAATTTTTATTATTTACACAAATTCGTTGTAGATTCTTTTGATTTTGACAAAGGTCCAGAGGAACATTGTGGGATTATCGGTACGTTATTTTATAACGCGAGAAAGAAATATTATATAGGCATTTTTATCCCCAATGATCACTATGAACCAATGCCATGGCGCGGCGAGAAATCACATATGATCCATTCGCCGGGCAATTCTAATCCTTGACAGAAATTCCGCAGAACCCACGGAACGCTTCGAAGTTATTGCACTTTTCGAGAGGAAAGTAATATTAGGATAACTGGAAACCGTTTGCCCTATTATTGTACTTTGAAATACGAAAGGAAATAATGATCTCGCCCCTGAGTTACGTAAATTCGTGCGCAACATTCGAAGGCCCGTATCCACACATGTGAGATACTCTCGAGAGATTTGAGAAAACACTGAAAAACGTATTTACTACATGTCATTCTTTAAAATCTATAACAGGCCGATACTCTGCTCTGTATCGACTTTTAAGACACCTTTTAATAACGATACTTGGTGTAAGAGTGTTTATCCTTGCAAGCACATAAAAGTCGATGATAAGCCTCAATCATTATCCGAAATTAAAAATATTTTGAATGTTTCGAAAATTTTTTTTTTGTGCACGCGCGCGATATCTTTAATTTATAGATAATAATCGTATTTCTAAATATTTCAAATATTCAAACACTTTTAGACATTCATGACTAAAAAATTTCCAGTTTCAAATGATTCCAATTTCAAACAATTTAAATAATAATATAATTAAAAACTTTGAAAAGAAAAGAACTTGAATGCCTATTACTAAAAATCAATTAGCCTCAAGCGTGCAAGCATCGGCGTTGTAGTTTATTCGATACGTCAAAGTCCATCCGAGAACTACTATACTACAACATTTTGTTCTTACACAGAGGCATACGGTGCTTGAAGAGTTAACAAGTTACGTTACATCGGGTGTCGGTCTCTCTTTCTCTCTAAATGTAAAATTTTACATGTCATGTACCCATCACCACGTTGGACCCAGTTACGCGACTGCGTTAGCAGTAGAACTTCCTTGTCTTCGGCAATTAATATCTAAACGCCCCAAGCTGTCGCGACATCGGTATTCTCCGGTGTGCCTGTCAAACGTGTACTTTCTTATGTTTTAATTCAATTAGCCAAATTTTTTTTATTACAATCGTTTGAAGTGCACACTTATCATTAGAAAACACTTATTTCGTGATTGCTCCTAAATGATCCGGAATATACTGACGTTGGAACAGCGCCTCATTTCAATTAGACTAATTAACGTTAATGTTTAAGCGTTATAAATGAATTACAATCTGATTATGTTGAGCGCTCGCATACGTCGCACTCATTCGAGTATCGTATACGTCGGAATAATTTATGGGGTGAATGAGTGATTTCGGATTTTAATTAATTCGTTTTTACGACAATTATATGATTGCCTTGCGTCTTTATGACAATTCATTCATCAGCAGTTTCATCGAAGATTTATAATCAACTCATGCACACATCATATTCGATCTCGGTCCTCTTATATAATTAAATTTTCTTTAAACTTCGCACATATGTATTTCCAATTACGCTTTTCAAGTTATACTACCATTGATACATTCACAGCAAGTTATTAATTAGACAAAATGCAATCAATTAACGGGCTGTTTTTGTTTCTGTTTGATTTCTCTACTTACAACTCTTTTAGAATACGAGTGATATCCACCGACATCTAAGAATTGTTTTTTTTTTTAATAAATATTAAAATTATCTGGAAATAGAAGATTTCGAATTTTTATTAAGAATTTCAAAATATATATATTTACTAATGCAAATTGAAAATAGCGGCTTTGAAAATCATAAAATTTTGAAGTATTTCATAAAATAATTGTCATGCATTTTTTTAAATATCTATATTCTCTGATAGAAATTTTTTACTCTGAAATTGTAATAAATAATAACGAAATATTATTAAATTGCATACTGAAATCTGGAGATCGAGAGACTAAATGGCGCCAAGGCTCGCGCATTGACGAGACTATTCGTGAGTACGCGAACCGGTGAGTTGTAGGTATCCGCGTATCAATTGACTCACTTTCAGTATTAATTCATTAACAATTCAATATAAAACACATTATAAGATTATAAGGAATACTTCAATAGTTGAGTAAGAGATCCGCATTTTGTTCGTTGTGTTTTGTTGAATCTCAGTACCCTGCAATCGTCATCTCGAAATCGATCTCGCATTGACAGCGATTAAAAATCTAATTAATCTTTGTCAATCAAGAAGACGTACCGCGAAATGTCGCGTTACTACGGATTCTGTAAAAAAAGCTGCGGGGGCCGCAGAAATACGAATATCTTCGGAACATCTCGGCTATCTTAATCCCGCATCGAACTTAGTTACTCTGCTGTAAGCTGACTTAGCTACTGTGGCTGTAAGCGGTATTAGTGTACGGTCCACTGTATATGGACGATCCTGTCGTAGACAGACTCTTGTGCCGTCTCTTGGCGAGTAGTATTAGGATGGCGGCTACCACAGCTAGCATAAGTATGAGACCGGCAGCGGCAATTCCAATAGCGAAACTCCTCTGCGATATGCAAATGGTGTTCGGATCATCGAGAGCCTAACAAAGAAAAATCCAGAAAATGATATAATTAAACGAATTTGATTCCATCTTATTTATAAATTTCATTATTTTAGTATTGGTATACTATTTCATATTCATGTTTTTTCCGATGGATCGATCTATAATATATAATATATATTATAGTTAATATAATAATTTTTACTTGCGATGTAAAAAACACACAATCATTTATTTAAAAAAAAAAAAAAAAAACTGAATGACTGTCTCAAAAGCAAAAATCAAGTAAATTCGCATTACCCTTTCCCGAAAGACGTCGTTGGAGAAATCTGACTTGGAACTAACGTCCGATGCTTCGTTAACGTAAAGACCACTGTAAACTTCGATCGTTGCTGGGGTGCCATCCAAATCTTCGATACCTTTCGTCTCGTGGGCATTAGCGGTATCTCTGCGTCGCCTGGCTATCGAATTGCACAACGGCGGCTGCAAGCAAAGATTACCTAAATGATAACTATTCGGCAAGTCGCCTACGAAGAACGATTGTTGTGGAACTTGAATATTTTCTTTCATAGGATCACACATTACGTAATATCTTGTGTTTGTTTGTATATAACATACTACGCGATTAAGTTTAATCGTATTTGATTACCTTCATCTGATAACAACATAATAACAAAATATTGAAAAAAATATCAATTTTCAATTTTATGAAATTTAAGAATAAAATATCATGAAGAGAAAATTCAAACGCCAGTGTGAAGCTCTAGTTTTTCTCTTTAAAATTTTTAAAAACTTCTCTACAATTTCTTTTCCAAGATACTTAAGTTTTTATGAAACGCAAAAAAATCATAAGCCTTCTTTAATTTATAAACGGTAGTGTGTATAGATAGTCATTATAGAAATGTTAAAGGATTATTATAAACGTAGTATTCAGCAGTCATCGTGGTAGATTATTATAGTCTATACGTATTATATTCAAGCTAGCTAGCTTTAAATATCATAATGACGACAGTACCGTATTACTGCACCCTCCACCATGCTTGACGCACAGCCTAACGTTGCATTGATAATACACGCTCGCTGTATATGGGAATTTGTGCGCCTGGAAATTCACCCTGGCCTCCGTTTTGTCCTCGTTATAGACGAATTGTCCCATTATCTCGCCATCTATCGGACAACTGTAAACAAGACAAGCTGAATGATCCCATCGCGAAAGGAAGAAATCGGAAAAAAAATTAATTCGCTTTGTTTATTATGACCATCTTCATCTTTGTCAATAAAACCTTGTCCCTTCAATGCCATGACTTACCCGTCGTCGTTTATGAGCCGCTGCTCGCCCCACCCGAGGCCGTCGCGTACCAGACAATCGGAGATTTTCAAACCGAACATCTCTTGTTTGTCTATGCTAATGACCAGGGTTAAGGGATCGCCAATCTTCACATTTTCAGCCACGTGATGCTGCGTTGGATCACCGCTGAAGATCTTCATCGTGCATCCCGGCATCGGTGCGGTCGCCTGCGGACAATTTGCAGTTTAAGCTTCATGTGATAACTTATTTAGTTTCTTACTTCAATCTTCTTAGAAGTTTATTTATCCGAAAACCAATATATATTTTGTTTAGCGGTGTATTATATGTCTCTTAGTTTGCCGAATGTTTTATTACCTGCAACGGCAAAGACTGCATCATGGAGACTTGAGTTTGATCGTTCGTTACGACTTTGTCGCGCGTCTGGTATCTGCATCTCACGTGAAAACCTCTACCCTGGTTCGTGACCAACTTCAGGTGTGGCTGTACCACGATGGTGTTGAAATATTCGATACCACCGTTCTCCTAAAACAAAGGCAACGGAACCATAAGCATTAGTTCTAAGCTTCATTACAAATATTACAATCGCTATACTTTGAGGAATCAAAAATAAATGTCGTGAGAATTAATCGCAGCGTTATATTTGATTGTTCAAAAAATTTTATGAAACTTCCATGAGATTTTGTCAAGTATAACAGACATTCTGTGTCATATGTTGGATTGATCGAAGAAAATTCCAGTGACCTCATCCGCAAGCAATAAGCATCTGCACAGTCAACTAATTTTTGTAATGATTCTCGCAATCTGGCTTCAGCGAAATGCTGCATTCATTTAAAGGACATTGATCGAATCGGAGCTTCGCGTTATTATATAGTATATTAGTCTCGCGGCAATCGCTAAAATCGCAATATAGCAGATGAAAAAACAACTAATTTTCTAAGGATAAATATACTCGAGAATGTACATTTAAGATTGCGCTGGTTATCAAAAAGTGAATACCATAGTCTCGCAACGAACGCCATGAATCACGCGAGGGAACACAATTTATCGCATTTCCGCGGAATGATAGTAGCTGAAGAGATGCTCCATACAGGAATTCAGTGTCAAAAATATTGTCAACGCTTCTCCGCTCCGATAAGAAAAATCTCTCAAGATTTTATATATTGCTATATGTATACGAGCCAGGAAATAGGAGTAAGTAGTTGAAAATGTAGAGAAATGTAAATGAAATACCTTCTAGCATGCTGAGATGCTTGCGGAAAACCGTGAGATTGTGAGCAACATAATAACGATCGTGAGAGTTCTTGTAACAGGGAGAGAATTTTTCCAGAAGTTTTATATATATTATTAATATTATTGCAATCAGGCCAGAAACCGCGAGTGAAATAAGCTTGTTAAAATAAATTAAGTTAAAATGTTGCTGGCTTTTAAATAAACAACAATTCACGATATACATCTATTACATTTTCTCTCGAGACACTTACTGTTAAGTAGACAAACTAGAGATTTCTCAATGTTTATAAAAAGTAGATAAAATATGAAAATTAAACACAGTAATTGAAATAATTTAATTTATTTATCAGCTTCATTATTCCGGCAAAATAGAAAACGCTTTTACACAACATGAGACTTGAAGAAAATAGCTCAAAGAAACGAGTCTTTTACCAGCATAAAAATATGAAAACGTGAACTTGAAGTATACTCGACTAGTATGACGGAGAGCACGGCAAGATTGAGATACACAGTTGGTTTTCCTTTTACCAGTCCGCATCGCGTGGCAGTATAGCTTGCTATATCGGTACGCAAAAAAGACCGGTCAGGATTGTGATTGGAGACATTAGGATTCGCTTCAGCGATCCTCTCATTATCTCCTTCCTCGATCGTAATAAAGCTGCTGAGATCCTTGTTCGTCCATTGTTAGGTGGGTGTGTGAAATGTAAAGTCAGCGATCCGACGTCTCTCCGGGCTCTCTCGGGCCGATGCACCGCAGATTGTGAGTATCCTTGCTGAGGTCGAACGCTGCGCTAGGCTTTGCTCGAGGTCATTGCCTGCTCGATATACCTGGTGCTTGTCTAACAATCCACGGCGACAGGTCGCTGATTATTGTGAAGGACTATTAAATCCCGCTTCGTTAGATACACCGACCTTTTCCAAGTTGTATTTTTATATGTACGCTACGCGTACAATAATTATGAGATTATTTTAAAACCTTTTTGTCGATTTTTAAGAGACAGTATCTTTCACTTTCAGAGATGGTAGAACTACTTGTCTGCGTTATGATGAAATCTCGGCTTTAAAACAGTAAAACCTTAAAACAAAAAATGATATTTTCCGCTCCATCGAATGGTTTTCTTCGCGAAGACCAGAAGTGTTAAAATTCTTTACAAATGGCTAAGAGTATTAGCTTCTCCACTGTCATTAACGTCAGTCAAGCGTTGTCGATGCTAATTTCAGGTACTTTTACAAGAGATTTTTTTCTCCATCTTTTCATTACGATCGATACGGCTCCTTCGAACTACGATTAAGCGGATTGTAAAATCGCATGACCCTTGCTCGCGAAGAGATCTCGCTATTAATTTGTCAAGCTGTCACTGCAATCATTTTACGGCTCTTCTCCGTACGAAAGTTAAATTTTTAGCTAGTCTGACACTTTCAAGCATACCACTTGCTTGCAGAGCAAAGTCGTTATTATATGGTCGGGAATCGTTCGATCTGCGCGAGAGTGAATCTACTTAAAGGCTATCTCGAAAGAAAGGCATGTCCATTACGAACGTATATCCTCTCTCTACTTCCCCCTGCCAATATAAATAGAGGGTACAGTAGCTAAGTGGTTCATGCAAATTGGCTCATCAACCGACTCATCAGCATTACCTTTCCGTCATCATCATTAATGCTCTCGCGAGTCTTTCTCATAGTTACTGTGACGCCTTAACACGAGGTAGTTTTGTAATGTAGCGTATTTAAAAAGACAATCCAAAGCAACTGGCTCGCTAATTTTAATTTATTTCAACTTTATTCAAAGATATATGTAATTATATTTTCAAAATTTTATTCTATAATGACAAAATGTTATCGTAATTATAATATATGTATTTTGACGTCAATTCCAAAAATTTTCTATACAGATGATTGCAAAGTTAATTCTTCCAACATCGGTGAATATGTTTTTCATTTAGAATATATTCGTTATACCAAAAATGCGTTTAATAAATTTAGAAATATCTATGTAGATCATTAAGATTTGTAGAAGATATTAGTTCTATAATATTTGCTGAAGGTATCTTGCTAAATTTGCAAATCAGCAAAACTCTTTTCGAACGGGTTTAGTCGATAAAATTTTTCAAAGAACAAATTTTCGTTGATATAATACAAGATGAAATAATTACTTAAAAGATTAACTATCTTCGCATGAAATGCGGAAGCAACTACAATTCCGCTACAGAATCCTTTTCTTCCGTGCGCCTTTTATTACAACGATATATCATTACGCATTTGTATGTACGTGCGTCCAAGGTATATACTCTCGGAAGAGGCGAGCAAAACAAGAGGACTAACGGCGCCTGAGGGAAAATGCTAAGGGTACGTTTCCACTGAGCGCATCACGCGTCGTGTTGTCTGTCTGCGTCACGAATTAACTAATCACGCGCGCAAAGAATCGCACTGCAGTATAAATGATACGGTATAATAAGATATTTTAATTGGTTAATTCGTGACGCGTACAGACGGTGCGATGCGTGACGCACTTCAGTGGAGAACGTATGGAAACGTACCCTAAATAATCGTCTTATCACATCCGCTATAAACTATACACGAAGGCACTCTGCTAACCAGGAAAAACTGCGGACATTATACTTATTATAATTCATGCACGTAGTGAACTGTCACGACGAAGTCCTACGTCCGTTGCATCGCCGCACTGTATGATTCCGTTCATTTCTCATGACGTCAGCGATGCTAATAGAACGTTCGTAACAGTACGGCGTGCTTCTACTACGATCGATTATTACGTCAGCAGATACAGCGATTAGCATCCGGCCAAATTTGCAGCCGTGAAACCAGTAACGCAGGTTGTAAACGAAAATAGCATACCACATAAAAATGGAAATTACAGTTACAGAAGTAATGGCGTTTTTAAGGTTGTTTTTGTTAAAGCTTCGGTGCAAGGACAAAGTTGAGAGGGCTCCGGCGTTAATATTAATTCAAGGCAATTCTTATGCAGATCTTCGTTGCAATATTACAGCAAAAAAATTATTAATGTTCGCGGATCATGGGCCTTGCGAAAAGATTTTACAAAACGTTATATATATTTAATTGTAGATATTTCGTACAGATGACTTCCGTGAAAAAGAATAGGAATATGTGGCATTACTGCGTATTATATCAGCTTTAAAGCCCATCTTGTCGGACGCTCATTTTTGCTTATCTTACGAAAAAATTATTTATCATAAAAGTTCCAACGGTATTACGGGATGATCAATAGGAATGAGATAAAACTAAATGGTTATTGCTTTGCAGCAAGCTAAAATAAAAAATTACTTTATGAAGAATCATCAAATTCTTTTTCAATACAAAGAAATTAAAATTAGTCAAGGATTTTTATTTTATGCGGAATGGCACGATCTTATCTCGTACGCAAGCCTATTTTATTACCTCTTTTTTTGTAATGTTTCAATTGTTAATTAGACATTTTTTTCATATACGTATATATAGTAATAAAAAAAAATTGACAAGTTTTCTCTCTATAGAATGACGTTATTTCGTTCGGCCTTCTCGTTACGAAGTAATAACCATTAGTTTCAAAAACAAGTTGCTATATCGGTATCGGTAATCTTTCTCTAATAAATATTGGTGGAAAAATTTATTCGGATCCACTTAATCGTTTAAAGTTATTAAAAGTTATTAATTTATAATAAATGAAAACTGTAGAAATATACAGCCGTTTTGCTGCATAAAATCATTATAAATCAAATTATTTGTTTTGTTATACAATTGGTTTCTGTTATTCCCTGTTTTTAAAAATCCGTGCTTTTCAATTGTGTCTCGAGTTTAACTGTCTTGCAGATAATGTAAGCGTGTCGCTAATCGCAATTGCAATCGAAACGATAGTGATTCGAGCCTTCGAGCGCAAGGTGTATTTATGACCGCGGTTTAATGTTTACATCCCATCGACACGCAATAAAAATATATGTATATCTTAACGCTAATACCAATGTAAACCAGGAAGCCGTTAAACTTTTCATTAGCCAAGGCAATTTTCTCCGGGTTGCGGTGATGCGACACGATGCAACCGACAAGAGCGATGCGAGACATGGCATGTTTGCATGCGTGCAAACGGTATCTTCTGTCATTCGATCTATGATTTACGCGAGGGGACGGATCATGCTGCACGCTAATGTTCCTCCGTTCACTAGAGACCCTCTAATAGGGTCTCTACCGTTCACGGACTGGGAGAGCCATCCATTCCCTCTTGAGCGACTAACGGGACCTGTGATTGGAAAATCACGGGTTTTTCTGCAGTCGCGGTC